AAGCCTCGCTTGACTAAGCTAAATAATCCCGACTTGGGTGAAGCAAAGCTATTGATTCGCAGAACCAGAGCCACCGCTACGCATCGCCGGACCACTTAGCAACCCTTTGTTTTAAATTTTAATATTAATTGTATTAAAATTCATTGAATTGAAGGGCATTATGCCACACACACTTGGTTCAGATGACTGATTTGTATATATGTGATGATCCTAAGTAACTACCAATCCCGAAGTCTTTAGCCTAGCGCCTAGCTTCACTGACAGACAGAATGACGTACAATTAAATTTTTGACGTTGCAAAAGTAATTAGGGATTAAGTGAAATTTCTCGGATCTCACAGGTCTTGAATTGTATGTAGCTAAAACAAGCTTTTCTTTTCCTACTTTCAATTTTACACAGACAATTGTTGATTACCTATGGTCAAACGAAAGAAGAGTTCATGCACGAAAAATTATGCTCTTTTTTCTGTGATGTGTTTAATCTATTGTCTCGTCACAAATATTTGAATGTTATTTTAACTCTACATTTGGTATTTCCTCTGTATTAATTTGCGATTCATAGTTAATATTATTGAATGCATATTCAACACAATTATGATCTCAATATTTACATCTGCTTGGACTTTCATTTAAGCCTTTGCACACAGCTGCCGTTTATCGGCAATCTTTAGGATATTGTTCATTATCTTCTTATCATTCTACCTGTACTAATCCGACAGTGGCCAGCCTCCGCACGAAATGCGCTTGCACATTTTTTTCTATACTTCTAACTAAGATAACTATTGATGATGATGACGATGCTTCAATGGTATTATTTTAAGGAGTCTTACTACTTATGTTACATAAAAGGAGATGTTTTTCAAATGTGGAAACATTCTATAAAACCGTATGAATCGATAGTTTTAGGCAAATGGATATAAATATCCTGTGTTTTTGAATGGAGTACAATATACAAGGAATTTATTTTCTATACAAATCTGAGCTTAGATAAATTAATATGCAATAAGATGAAATTGTTTTCATTTTCAAAAGTGCTTTTAGATACTGTTGGATAGCCGTTTGATATAATTTTTCTACCCCGGGCTTTTTTTTCCCAATAAAAAAGCCCGCCACAACCTTCCAAAACCGCTGCAACTCCTGTAAGCCATGATCTACAGTAGATACAACCATGGAAACACCGGAACACTGAAGTCCGGACATGAATATCTGTTTTGGTTTCCGCAACGAAGTGAATCAGAAGATATCTCGGGCTTTGTTGATACTCCTTGCCAAATTCAGTGTCAATATCAGACATCATCTAATGCCCTCTTAGTTAGTATCTATCTAGTTAAATAGTATTCCGCATCGTTACGACCTTTCACACACAATTAAAATTCTCACCAAAGTTTAACATGTTCAACTATTTCCCAAATGTTTCGTCGATAAACTGTGCCACCTCGTAATGTTTATCAATCATCATTGCTTTAGTTTTTACACCAACTACGAACCGTTTCCAAAATACATGCGTTGGTATTTCATAAACATAATACCGTTAACAATTATAAGAGATAATTTTGCTATGAACATTTTTAGTTCACGTATATTTGCTGTAGCTTGGTCTTTTGTTCCCATTTCTTCAACTTTTATATATTTACTATTTTATCAGCATTTATCGTTTCTTTTAGTATCATCTGCAGTTAATACTAGGTGAGTAAGAGATTTCGTTATTACACATTGAAATTTGCTGCTATAATTACATCAAACTAGTCATAGAATTCAAGATATGTAGGTAGGATAGATAGGTGGAGACTTAGTATTGTTTATCCAAATTATTTATTTACTATTCTGTATTAAATTGGCTATTTTAATGCATTTGAAACTGAGCCTTAAACCATGAATATCAACGAGTCTTTTCCATTATTTTAATCCCTGTTTTAAAATTGTTTACCCTTTTATAAATTAATTGTAGGATATGCACCGTTATGTCCTCTTTGGGATCCCGTTAGGATAAGATCTCTTATTTCTTCTCGGTTAATGATAGTTACATAAAATATCGTTTTTGTAGCCATGGGTATACATTTTTTGTTTATGATTCATTTGCTAATTATTTTTTATAGACAGCTTGTTCGGAGCCGTGATAATTTCTGTTTTCATTTATTGCTGTTTTTTTCTGTTTTATTAGAAATTTGAACTTCACTTGATTGTCTTTTTTATAAATTCGTTCTATAATCAGGGCCTTTATCGGTTTTCTCTAATTTTCATCATGAATCATCATCATCTTCATCTTAAAACAGTCATCGCTAGCAAAACATGCTTAGCAATATTTTGTCATATCACAAGCAGCGGATGACAAGGTCCTATTCTATCCGAATTTCTAATAATGTTCCGATTCAACACTTATTGTTGACCTTCAAACTTCAGCATTCAACAAATATTTAATAATCGTCACTTTTACAATACAAATAGCGTTACAATTCGTTTGTTTGTGTGCACAGCTCTAAATATCAACAAATACATAAATCATTTAGTCGTAAAGGAAATGAGTAATGTCAAGTAATTTGGATCCGTCGGGTTCAGTCTGTTGTCTCACCGACGACTATGTTTTACCAAATCATTCGTTTTATTATTTTCATTTGAACTTTGATCTGTGTTTTGAAAGAAAGAACTTAACAATCCCTTTGTTGTTTTGTTTGTCTTAAAATTAAACTTCTTAGATTTGGAATTTTTGACCAATTAAATTAGTCATTACAAAAACACGTAAAACGAATTTAAAATCTTTGTGTAAGTTTTCCTAAGTAACTAGGTCCTAGGTAAGTCACCTAACGTGTTCACCATTAAATGCGTTTAACGGATGAGTCTAAACTACAATTACTTATGCACATTTACAAAATTTTGTTAATTTGATAAGAACACGTGTAAGAACCAGATATCGTCTCGCTCGACAACTTTAAAACACCAAACTATTTAAAAAACGCAGTTTAATTTGTTTTTACGATTTTAATATCAATAACAATCTTTTTGCTTCAAAATGTCATGTCTTCAGAGATGATTACGAACGATAACATACTGATATACATGTTGATAAAAGCGAAGAATTTAAAATTTTAATAACTGCATAACTTACTGAGAATGTTACAAGTGAAGATACTCCTAATAAGGTTTTATTATGAAATCTTATGGATTTGGGTAATTGGAATCAGGATTTGAAGGTATAGATGATAATAAGAGCTTTTTTAACCCCAAGTTGGGAAATCCTTATCCCTCGCCTAGAGAGGACGAAAGGGACCGTCAGACTCTTACTGCCAAAAATTGATGATATGAATGAGAGCAGAGAATTATATGATTTAAGGTTGAGGCTGATTGCAAGACAAATTTAAAAATTTGAATATTGATTTATCTGGGTCGTGTGCATATAATTATTATCTGGATGGAAATGAAGAGACTGATTTGCGAATAAGTCATACCAATGAGACTGTAAATGGTGGTTATTTATTGTTTTTTCACCTTACTCGGGATATTATCCGGGAATGAAAAATACTTGGTCCAATTTTTCTGCCGAATAGGTCCAAATAGTCGAATAGGAAAAACAGAGAGAATTAAGAGTGCTATAAATTTTTAGAGATGCATCTGAAGATTAAGATATTAATAAATTTAAAAGAGTAAAACAACACATGATCTGCTATGACCAAAGAATTAAAATGATTGCTAAATATTACGGCCAACCTTTAGGAATAAAGTGGCACCAAAGAAGAAAAAGAATAGAAAGAAAGTAAGAGTTTATTCGCACCAATAAAACACAAGCAAAAAAATAACGATACCAAAAATTAAGTGAAACTCTTCGGATAGAACAAAGAAAGGTAGCATATTTTTATTAAAATTCATAATATAGATCTGAGCTCTTTCCATGTTAGACAATATTTGAGAATATCTTATAAGAAAATTCTATCCCCAGTAGGTCAATCAGATTCAATATTTTTAAATAAATTCTTTAAAAATTATGCCTAGTGCATTCCAACATAAAAAGTCAAGATTATCCTCATTAATTAACATTATAATAAATTAGTTATCATAATTTATGCTTATTAAATAATTGGAAAAAGCCGGAAGATGATTGTTATAAAATTCATTTAAATTGATAGCCATAAAATTATTCTAACAGTATTATTCTAGATAGAAAAATAATTCATTTCGTTGCACGATAAGATTTTTTTAAACATTGAGATATGAATATAATGTCTTTTTCTGGTTTTGCATTAATTCATATTATTTTCTTATCTAAATTTTATTCCATTTGTATTCTTAGGTTTTATCTTTAACCTATTTTCAGATCTAGACTACATTTTTGTTGCATAACTTCTCAAATCTCTTATCCATTTCCTCAATTAATTATGCTAACTAATCTATTATTTGAATATGCATCATCATAAAATTTATCTTTATTATCTGTGCATATTATTATCGTTAATGTCAAAAGTAACAATAGTATCTAACTATCTCATTAGACTAGATTATTCAACAGAATTTTCTTATTATCTGTGCCTAGCCTTAACTCGTCGAGTACCGGTTTTGTAGACACAATTATAGAACAATAGGTTGCGGTCACCGGTGACCGCTTGGTGTTTGACAGTTTAAAGCACTTCATTTTTTAAATCCTAACGGCGGCGTCGGTTCAAAACCCTATTTCAGATTTTTACTCTGTATCTTTTTTTGAACATCCTTTTAATTACTTAATTTGAGTAAAAGCGCAATAAGAACATCGAAACTATTTTATCGTGGAACTACGCATTTAAATAACAACAACTTTGCTACAAGTTTCTAGAAAATATTTACCTCGTCAATTCGTAACATGTCTCCTCTCTCAAAAACATTGGGTTCTTTTCAAAATCTATCTCCTTTACTCAAAACATCATCCAGCATGCGGTATTTATTAATTTCATATTAAACAGTATCATGCCAATTTGCCACACCACCACAAGAATTTATTATATCTGTTAATTTCTCTTTACCAAACACAACACTTACCTAATGTTTATTTTATATATCTTCGTTCATGTCACAGTTTAAATTATTATTTTAATTTATATCACTCACTTCAAACACAAAGTTCACAAGTCACAAGTTTATTTTTTAATTCTTTCTCTTTGTAATATTATACTGTTGCGTCGTTTAGTGCGCTTTTGTGAGTTCCTAACTAAGAATCTGGTTTCTTAAATAAATCCGGTTCCTATAATTCATATAAGCGATTATAGTCGCGGTGTATATTAAAAAAAATCGGTTCTGTAAACAATTGGAGATCTAACAAAGCAGCGCTTCGCAGCTATCCGAAGCTGTACTGAAATTCTAAACCCTGACTTCGGTGTCCATGTCGCGCACCCCCCATTACTAAATTTCGTATCGGATTTAAAATGCCACAACAACAGAAATGGTCCAAACTAAATAATGCTCACACTGGAACCACATAAGGTTGAAAACAGATCAGCACAGGACGCTCTATCCGACATTTGACGACACTCTCGGCGCGCTACAAGGCTATGAGAACGTATAATTTAAAGACGGAGCTGCGTAAACGATCGACTGTATATGTTTGTCTCTCTCTAACACACGGAGGAGGTTGGGCAGCTTTTCGCACAGTGATGTCGGATTGCTCATTTTTTTTGCTATTCAGTATTGAATTACGTATTATTTTGTGAATTAGATTGTGCCGTGGTGTCATATTCTACTCTGTACCTGGTATTCTTTTAACGGGATGGATCGGGAGGCAGGTTAGTATAATCTTTCTTATCTCATAATCCAACAATTTTTGAGACAAACAAACTTTATTCTTTTTATTCTTACATAATACTAAAAATGGAAAATCAACACTATTACACTACGCTTACGTTAGTATTTCGATTATTTACACTTTTTCGTACTTTTATTTTCTCTTGTCCTTTGGTACTGTGAAACAGTTTATTTTGAAATGGTTGCAAATTTGTCGTACCTGGAACAACAGAATATTGTTATTTGTATGAGCTTTTGAATTGTCTTTGTGTATTACTTAATATTATAAAATAGCCATCTCTACCCAGCCGTTTCTCTTCTACGCCTTTTTAAGCTAAAAATTGTAAAAGAACATTTTTAAGTTCTAAAGCCGTAGTTCTGTTGTCTAGTCCTCTTAGAACTTACATGCGATTACAAACAAAATTATAAACAAGAAAAGGATCTAACTCTTCACAACCAATCAATGAATTACTATAATAAGAGTTAAACAGATAAACTATTTATTTACCTTTATCATATGCTTACTTCTTCGGACCCAATAGACAAAAGACAAAGTAAATAAAAAGAAAAGATATGCAAACTATTAAAAACTCACCACACAAATTCCATAATGTACGTGTGTAAAAAGAAACAGAGCTGATAGCAGATGTAGAATGATGGCCTCTAGTTGAGGCTGACAGAGGGACATCACCATCCCTCCAAGCAGAGGCCAGGTCATCCATGATAGTAGCTCACATCGGCTGTGGCTCATCTCAGCGATAATCAGACGGCACTGTGAAATGTAATGAAGGATTTGATCACCTATGGTCGTTTTATGATCATTTTTTTAAAAGTGTACCTAAACTTGGAATACCGCAAGGTACGATGTTAGGCCCTACGTATAAAACTATGCAATTTAAGAATACCTTTTAACAATCAAGTGTTTGAGATATTTCATGTCATAGTTGCGAGCGATCAGAATGTATCCCGGTTTTTGATGTCCTCTTGTTGGGTAAAAAATATTGAAGATTTTTAGTTAGGGAATTATACCCAACAATAATAAATGGTTCATTTGCTTTCATTATAATTAATTAGGTATATTACACAATACTCTAGTCATAGTTTTTTGAAATTGATACGGACGTTACACTTTATAATGTTAATATTAAATCCTATTTTTGCAAGAGAACGACATCAATATTTATCTTTTAATGGTACCTACATAGATGGCGCCGGTTAGCTCATAGTCTTCGTTCAACAAAATGCTTTGGTATTTCGTTACATGTTTTGTAATTTAAAACATTCTGAACTTTGTACTGCTTAAGTATAAACGTAGTAGGATAAGTAGTATGGGGTATTTATTGTACAATTTTTATCTATATACCTATAAATAAGTTATATAAAATGGATTTGTTGAACGTGAATCAGGTTTCGAATTCGATCCTTGGAACATACAATCGGTTATTTATTTTTAGATGCTCTAATTCTTTATTTTAGAGGATTTCGATTTCGTATTTTTTTTGCAATAGGACTTTGGAACTACCTGGCCGCTTAGATAGTTTTTGGTATTATTTGGTATGGTTAGGCCTCCTAAAGCTACAAAACTGTTTTTGGATCTTAGTTCTGCAGTTGCTCTTGTGTCTAGTTATACCAGGCAAACATAGAAACAAAGAAATTCTTTTAAATTTTTCATTATTTCTTTCAACTGATATGCGAGTCAGAGTGAAATAGGAGTCGACTGTAAATACCACTGTCAAAAACACAATTAGTTGGCTCAAGACTATGATACAAAAACAAGACAATGGCAGTCTCAATTTCTTAAAAAATTTAGTTTTCTATTTTCTATCGTACCTACGTAACCTTTACATTGAATTTGACCTCGATAGTTTAGTTGTCGTAACTGCTAATGTTGAATATGATGTGGTTCGATTCTCGTGTCGCATGCCGTGATAATTGCAAAGGGATATTATTGTTAACATTCTCTTATCATCTGATTTCTCTAATCATTAGACACAATATCAGATTTAGTAATCGACTGTACGATACAAAGTAGTCATAGTAGTAGTAGTAGTGAAGTCAGTACGGAATGTAACATCTTAGAAAGTGGTAATAAAATTATCAGCACCTCTAAATGACTAGGTATTTGACTGAGATCGGGCAGCAGTGAAAAATCTAATAGGTTTAGAGTACAATCTCCGATCCGTCTGCTAGCTGTTATGCAGCCAGCTTGTAAGTAGAAGAGGCTGTTGATAGATAATAAGGTAGGAATACTTACAGAAATATTACTAAACAGTGTTCCAAACATGAAGATGAATGCTCTAGGGTATACTTCGATGACGTTGTTAGGTGACTGCACAGCCCAGTAGATGGTAGCACCAGTCATCACCAACATTGACCAGATTGGCTTCGTCGCTTGCAGGATGGGGTACCTCTTGCCTGTGCGGTTTTTGTTTGACCTGCAATGGATGTTACGTTAAGAATGTTGGCTTTTTAAACAAACATAAAGGTAGTTATTAAATGTGGGAGAGCCATGCTTCGGTACGAATGGGCCGGCTCGACCGGAGTGATACCACGGCCTCACAGAATACCAACGTGAAGCAACGCTTGCATTGTGTTTCGTCGTGTGAATGAGGTTACCAGAGGCCCAATTACCCTCCCCTTCCCCAATCTCCCCAATCCCTGAATCCCAACGATCCTCAAACTCCTAATCCCCAAAATGCCGGTAACGCACTTGTGTTCGACGCCGATTGCTTACCATCAGGTGATCCGTCTGCTCGTTTACCGGTATATGCCATAAAAAAAGTTATTGATGAAAAGAAATATGTAAATAAAATTATTATTTTATAACCTACGTTTCAAAAAGTCGACTTTAAAACCCTTTTTTTGAAGTAGATTAATTAATATACTAAAATCTTTTAGTAAGTGTAACACACACTTTTCTGAAAACCACATCATAATCGCTTCAGCCAATCGCGAGATAATCGCATACAAACATACATATATGACTACACGGTTGGTGCGGTGGCTGGGCAACCGGCTGCCGTGCAACGTGTCGCGGGTTCGATTCCCGCACGGAACAACACTTTGTGTAATCCACATATTGTTGCTTCGGGTCAGGGTGTCATGTGTATGTGAACTTGTATGTTTGTAAACGCACCCACGACACAGGAGATAATCCTAGTGTGGGGCAACGTTTATTACAATATATATATACATACAGGTTCAACTGAGAACCTCTTTTAGTGAAGTCTCTTAATAAATATTCTCAGTGACCTAACTACGGTCACCAAATCGTCTGACAACTGTGCTAATTATGACAAACCTTCACCAAAAAGGAAAGCCTCTGTAGAGCAGTGGTCGACTTCGAACTCTTACATAAACAATACATGCTCAATATAACTATGCATTGAGATTAAGATCTACATAACATCACGTCTTTTTATATCCGAAGGGATAGGCAGTCCACTTTACGGCACTTAATGCCACTGTATTGTCAATACAAGGAGCGAGTTATCGTTGACGTCATAACAGACTTAATGCCTTTTACTTAAAGTTCATTTAGCAGTGTATGGTTCTTTCTGAAGATAATGATCCTATATCCATACTTACAAATAAACATTATAAACAGCTACAGGGTAGGTAGTGATGAATCCCATGCAATGTATGACCGCTTCTAACGCCTGTGTGAATGTGACGTCACCGAAGACGTAATACTTATAGAATTCTGGACCATACGCTCCTGCGAATAGGAATAGTAGTGCACTGACCTGGGAAAGGAATATAATTTGTTGGTTATAAAGTTTATTTTGGATTGCAGTCGATATAATTTCAAAGTTTTAAAATACACATACAACAATACAAATCCTTTGGGTCCCTTGCAAAGTCAATCTCACATAATAAAAAAATTAGGTAGATCTTCTAGACATTGACACTTTTTAGTGTGGGAGAGCCATGCTTCGGCACGAATGGGCCAGCTCGACCGGAGTGATACCACTGCCTCACAGAAAACAGACGTGAAATAACGCTTGCGATGTGTTTCGTCCTGTGAGTGAGGTTACCGGAGGCCGATTACCCCCAATCCCCGTATCCTCGACAACTCTCAAATTCCCAAAAGGCCGGTAAAGCATTTGTAACGCCTTGGTGTTTCAGGTGTCCATGGGCGGCACCGATTGCTTACCATCAGGTGATCTGTCTGCTCGTTTACCGGTTTATGCCATAAAAAATAAGAGTATTAACTGGGAATAAGAACACTGGTCAGCGAGCATACTAAATTCTCAGTGACAGGGCCAACCGTGGGGATTATGGCAAACCTTCTATAAAAAGGAGGATAGTGTTCAGCAATGGTCATATTTCAGCTAATTAAGTAAAATCATATTAAGTATAAATTCGCGTACATACATACCCACATACTGAGGTCGTAGCTCCAGGGAAGGTATAAGACCCCGGTGTTGTACTTCTCACAATGGCTGACGTAGAAGTTCATCACAACGCTGATTACAATCAATAAACCCCTAGAAAAAAATTAGAGAACTATAGTCTCTTGTTGATACTAGGGAACCAGAGAGGAAAAAGGATTAGAAACAATTGGAACGCAAAAAAACTGTTAGATCATATTTGATAAGAATAATAAAAAATAGTA